TCATTACATAAAATTAATGTTTTATTGCATAAACCACACCTTTTACCATAACGTTAACGCAAAATTAACGCACTGGGTAGAAGTGGCGTACGCAGGGGGGGGGGGGGAGGTAGGGGGGGGGGGGTTACAACGCTCACCCCCTGGACCCCTCTGTAAAAAATGTTTACTGTTATAATACCAATAATACCACTGTTGCTTATTTAAATCAATTTCTGAATCAATATATAAGTAAAATTGCGTATGTATGTTTAGAACCGTCCTCTAAAAACTGACGCTATGTTCACTTTGAGTGGTTATTACCCCCCCCCCCCCCACCACAATTGTGTAGAGCGACATTAATGTCACACCTAGGTATACGCTGGATAGGATAATTTACCTAAAGTGGCTGGACAGTTGTGAATGAAATTGAGACCCCCACCCCCAACCCAGCGAGAACTGATCTGTTAAGTACATTTGGGAAAACGCGAAATGAGTTTCCAAAGTACCATGCCGCCGGAATAATAGCTTTTGAAACAGGTAAAACACTGAAAATATTGTTTTTGCAATTACCAGTAAAGAGGTGTGTGATAAACAGTGATATAACCCAGGGGTCGGCAACCTTTTGAGACGGAAGCCATAAGTTACAATTTACAAAATTTCCCAGTTTTTAAAGGGCCACAAACAATTTTAATTTCAATATTTATATATATATATATATATATATATATATATATATATATATATATATATATATATATATATATATATATATATATATATATATATATATATATATATATATATATATATATATATATATACACATATATATATATATATATATATATATATATATATATATATATATATATATATATATATATAGGCCTACATATACATATATATATATATATATATATATATATATATATATATATATATATATATATATATATATATATATATATATATATATATATATGTGTGTGTGGGTGTGTGGGTGGGTGTGTGTGTGTGTGTTAGTTGTGTGTGTTAGGGGGCGGACACTGTTATAAGTATATATTTACAATATAAATTCCATTTCGTCCCGGGGGTGGGGGGAGGGGGGTGGGGAGGAGAAGTGTGGTTGACTCTCTTCGGGGTTGTGGGGGGAGCCATTCCCAAGGAATACCCGGAAAAAACACTGGTTGGCTTCTTTACTTTTTATTATATTCATGCATGAAAACGCTTGCTCGCATGCATACAGTGACCCGAAGATCGTCAGCACTCCAAATGCTAACTTTTTTAACCTCACTGTAGTATCCTGGGAGACTATTTCGTGCGTCATGCAATAATGCCTCAACTCGAGGCATTTATCTTAGAGCTGTCGAGTTGTGCAGCGTAACGTGCATGTTTTTCTGGACTTCCAAATCTTCTAATTTGCTCTTGAGTTCCGTGAAATACCACTCCAACAATGTTTGGTTTTCAAATCCAGGAAGTGCATTTGAAAGGAACCAGCATAAATGTTAAATGACTCAATGTTGATCTCAGTTGATATCATTTGTTTTTGTGTTGAGAGGATCTACTATGAACGTCGAAGTACGTTTGTTTTGAATTTCGCAAATCTCAGTGAATGCATCCTTCATGTTAAAAAAAGCATTGGTTTCATCATAATATTTTTTAATCTATCAAAATTAAATAATTAATTGCTTTCTTTCGATACAATCCACTTTTTCAAGCAAGTCTGAGGCTGGGTTTTCCTTTCCTTGAAGGTTTACATTTAGCTCGTTAAGTTTCTTTGAAACATCCACAATGATGTAGATTGTTTCGATTCGGGATGGACAATGTAATAGAAAGTACATTGAAATAGGGAATAACTAAATTTTCTAATAGAATAGCGAGTATTTATAGTTTATGTTTATTACTATATCGTTCATCACCGAATGTTGCAGAACAATTTTTTTTTGAGTTTTGAAAATAAAATAAAATAATTAATATTTGTGCATGTAGCTGAAGAGCCGATTCTTGACATCAAAAGAGCCGCATGCGACTCGCGCTGATCTAATCCATACCATATCCTTAAGTTAAAAAATGATCTTTAAAGAACACAAAAAAACAGAAGCTAATTATAAAAATTGGTGATCGGAACTGCAAGATCAATAATTTAGTTTTATTTAAGCTATTATACAGAATGTTCCACCTATTAGATTTAGTTTTTCGTTTAGATAGAAAAGTTTGATTTCACGCCAACACATATTTTAGCATTTATGATAATAATATATTTAATTCTGACTAGAGACAGTATATATTTGTAAAAATAAATAGTGTTAAACTACTATATTAAATACTAAATTAATTATTGATCTGTTTTGACATTTACAATTACATTTGTGGAAATATACATAGTTATATTAAGAGAGTGATTATTTCCCCTTGTTCGCTTATCTTAATTAATATTCTAGGAATCATTATGCCAAATTGTTTTTTACAAGGATTACAAAACAGATTATGTGGCGTTAATTGTTTTTGGTTGTATTGTGTGTATATTTTGTTTGTATTTTTGTTTAGAGTGATAACTTGTTTTGTTTAGTCGGCCTACATTGTGTTTTTTTCTTATTTCTTCAGAGTGCTACTTTCAATTTATTTTACATCATAGCGAAGCAATGAAATACAGCTAGTATATATATCTATATAGATCTAGATTCTAGATTTAGACTCTATCTACTCTAGAATTTATTTAAATACTAAATTTCTATATTAAACTATTCAGGCCTAAATTATTTTATAGAAGTATTTGTTTGTTTAGCTATGGAATCGGCTCATTTGGGATAAAACTTTCGAAAGAGTAGGCTTATTCGCATAAGTTGAGTTTATATACTACATCTTTTATTCTTCATCAATTAAAGCGTTTCTAAAAAGCTGAGATGATAGTGTACTTGATACCATGCGGGTGGTACGGGTTCGAGACACCAAACTCAAATTGATTTGTTTTTCAATTTGTTTTTTATATGAGAATCTTCCGATTTTAGAATATAAAGAAAGGAGCTATTTCATTCAAATTTGATCTAGATCTAAATCTATAGATATACTTATCAAGACATACGCTATGAAGTATATACAATTTAATTGGTCAAACTAATACAAATTACTTTTAAAATAAACCGGGAGTGGTCTGCCCTAAACTTTCTCGAATATTCTTATATAACTTGGAATGTAGACATGATTTTTTATTACTTAAACTTGTAAAAATAGAATAGAATCTCATAGAAAAAAGAATTGCGCCCAAGCGAACGCCAAAACAAAATGTGCATAATAGTGCGGGATATTATTAGTACTTTATAAATTTACGTGCGTTTTTTTGAGAAATCGGAAATAGTGTAAATTAGTACTTCCGGTCAACGGAAATTACTCAAAATTTGATAGAAGGTAGAGAATTAGATCTTTTACTTACCTGTGAAATTTCATTTATCTATCTGAAATAGTACTCAATTTATAGGCTTTCGAAAAATTTAAAGTAGGAAAAGTACTACTTCCGGTTATCGGAAATCGCTCAAAAGTTGATACGGATCTTCGATTTTGATAAAATACTTATATATGAAATTTCATCAACCTAACTGTAACGGTACTCAAGTAATCGTTTTTACACACAGACAGACAGACAGACAGACAGACACACAGACATACGGACAAGATTGCAAAATTAAGTTTTTCCGTATCAGTGAGGTGTAAAACGTCGAGATTTGTAAAAACCTCGATTTTTTTGCACGATTACAATACTTTCTCTATTCTTTGTATATACGAGAAAGTAAAAATAACATAATGACCATTGAATATCCAGGTTTTTAACGGAATCAGATAAGTCTTTAAATCAGTGTATGCATTTAATATGGTGTTCTGTTGAATAAAAATTTATAAAATTTTGGTTTTAATTTTTCAAATACGTATTGGTAGTCTATGTTATTTTTAAATGTGTCGGATTTTTGGCTATTTAGTTATTTCTTTGTTTTATCACTAACATTGTTCAATGTGTAGTAAAGCACATTGCGTTTTGACCAATAACTATTTTATAAAATTTTATTAGGATATTGGTAGCCTTTGTTTATTTAAATGTGCCGGATTTTTAGCTATTATTTCTTTGTTTTGTCACTAATATCTCAACGTGTAGTGTTGAATTTTGATCAATACATATTTCTTAACTTATTATTTCCAAATATGTATAACATTAAAAATATATAGGCCTATAATTCACGTGTAACGGGTACCGATTGCTAGTATATATATATATATATATATATATATATATATATATATATATATATATATATATATATATATATATATATATATATATATATATATATATATATATATATATATATATATATATATATATATATATATATATATATATATATATATACTGCTTGAGAAAATTTGAACCCCCCCCCATGAAACGATCCTGGATACGCCACTGTTGGGTAGTATTTAATTTTTCATAATTTAAATTGTAAAGATAATTAACACAGAATATTTATGCTTTCATTAACATGTATTTATTATATTATTATTTTATTATTCTATTTTCGATGAGAAAGAAGAAAAGATAGACGACGAAGACGAGGAAGAAAACAATGAAAGTGATATGAAAGTTTTAGAAGACTGTGAATATGAAGGTGTTAGAACTGAAAGAGAAGAACGACTGAAGCAAAGGCTAGAAGAAATAGGCGTGCCTTTTTCTAAAGTAAAATATTTATTTTCTAAATGGAACAAAAATGCTATAACAAAATCAGCTCTCGCTATTTTAGACGTGACCAGTTTATCAAGTTGTTCAGTAATAGATTCGTATACTGGACAGATAATTGATCAAATTTTATACAACAGTAAAGCGAGTGCAATACTTTTAACAGAGTTTAGCCGATGGCCTGAAATGGCGGAATTTGCACTTACTCTTGTTGAGAACAGAAATAAAGTGCCAGATCTTGTAGTTGTTGATAAGAAGATTGACAATGTAATGAAATTGTTTGAACAAACAGTCATAAAGGTCGAAATCAAAAGAAGCAATGTCCTAAAGGACTTGACATTAAGGACTTCTAAGCTCACGTGTCTTACTGTACAACAAGTAAGAAAAACTTTCACTTGATTGTATTCATTATTTTACTCATGACTGTTGATAGTTGTAAGTTAAATATTATACGTTGGTTATATTTTTCAGACCTTCAAATTTCTTGTTTTTCTGGTGAAAATGTTTGACTCAGAAGTCGACCAACAATGTTTCAATGAAGAAGAATTAAAAACTGTGTTAAAGAACTGGAGCTCTGATTTATCCAGAACAAACGACGGTATTTTATTGTTAGAAGTGGGGAAGTTAGCTGTTGTCTTACTGTCACTAAAGTAAAATAAAATACAAGTTATTGATTTTTAAATCTTAAATATTTTGATTCTCAATGTCGTCATTTATGTTAGATGTAGGTCTTGTGATGTTTGTGATCATATCAATGATAACTGACGTCCACCACGCTGAAAATTTATTGGAGTACCATGACAAGATACACGAGCTAAAAGAAAGATTAGTGACGTCATTACATCTTGGTCAAGTTACGTTTCAAATCTACTGTGGGGAAAACGAGGGGAGACTTGGGTAATTTTAAACAACAAATAAAGATGTGTTTTAAAAGCAATGCTCCACTTTAGTAACAAAGTAGGAACTGAGTTGTTTCCACTTATCCTTAGATGCACTCAATACATATAACATAACAAACACATGTTTGTAAGAATCTGATTAATTTATTAATGCAAGTTATATTTATAAAATTAACTCTCTTAATTTTATTAACTATTGTTGTAAAATGTGGCAAATATGTAATATGATGTGAATAGTTCAGTACTTTAAAGTTAGTGTAAGCCTGGTGTTGATTGTCAATAAATAAACATGGTTAATGCTAAAAAACAATCTTTCCTAAATCTTAGTCTTTATTTTTACTATAATTAAAACAGCCCGGATTTAATTAGCTTTTTTAAAAATACATTTTTTGTAATAGAAGTTCGGTAGCAGTGTAGTTACCTTTGTTTTGTTTCTTTGATTTATCGCTAAAGGAAGATCACCGTGTATATTTTGAAAAGTACTTTTAACGTTTTTCTTTAAATCATGTAATATACTGCTTTATTAAATTCATCTCCTTTGTACAACTTATTGCATTCTGGTTTGTTTCAACTCAGAAAGCGATTTGTGGCTATCTTCAATACTTTTATTTGGTCATAATTCTTCACATTACAGAGTAACCCTCGCCATAACCGCTACCAACTAACTCCTTACAAATCGTTCATTCCAGCTTTTATACCGCATTCGACCTTGGGATAGCAATACATAAACACATCAGGGTTAACAATACTCTAGGGTAAAGTCAACTCACTTGCGCACTCTCCCCTAGTTCTAGATTATTCTAACCTATTTCTATCTAACCTACAACTGACCCGTAACACTATACATTGAATCATAACTTGTCAAAAGAGAAAAAAACTTTCTAAAGCTCTATCTGAATTTTCACATCTTTATCTAACACATTTCTATTGACAGTATCTGCAATACGTTGTGCCACCTACAAAGACTAAGTCAACAAGAAATGTTTAGAGCAGAATTCCCTGAACATTGTTTGTTCCATCTACAATCTATTTTGTTACAATCATGCTGGACAAGACAACAGGAGATTGAGCTAGGTCTGCACATTTTGGTTAACTGTGACGCTCAACACTGGCGTATCATTATGAAGGTTAGAAAATAACATTAAAATGTTGCATCAAAAGTGGCACAAATCTTCAACCCGAGCCTTGAAGGTTGTCATAGAAAAGCTTTGCGGGGGTCGCCTGTTGACATTCCAAATATTTGTCGCTTTACCAATCTTCTCAAACAAGAACATGGTTTCCACAAAGGGGGGGGGGGGGAATTGACAGACGACGCAATTCATAAGGGGGTGAGGGGGGTGTATTTAATGTACATATGTATTTTACAGGCGGTCTTTGCTCCCGAGGAAGGACAAGGAGAATTCTGGGAGGTAATTGAAGATGTTGGGTAATGCCCTGGTCCCATGATAATCAGATTGTATATAGTGAAAGCATCTGTGAACTGATTATTGTTTCAAAACGAATTGTTTTAAAATATAATTGTGGCTCCCTGATTACTTATTAATGTAGGGCATTAAAAGAGCTTATACTATTAATGCAAAGTTAAATAGCAAGAGATATTTTATTTCTCATTTCTCTTTACTATCATTAAATCTAACGAATAACTATTGTATTAAATATTACATTAAGTAAAAAATAAAATTATTTTGTTGATGTTCTCAAAATGTCTATTTCAGAATCGACCCGAACATTTGCTTTCACTACATGTGTGTATAGAATCTTTAAAGAATGCAAAATTTACAACACTTGCAGAGAACGCAGAAAAACTTTTGGATCGGATCAGCAGTAGTTTACAAGGTAAAGTTTTTCTATGTGAGTGAAACAAATAGACCTAGGCTGTATATGAATGTGTCACCGTGGTAAGAATTATCTTGATGAAACGTTATTTAGGTTATGTTAGTTGATTAAAAAAAATCAAATATACATTAAGTTTTATGTATAAAAAAATTGTAAACAGAATTTAAATACCAAACGCGCGAACAAGCGGAGTTCAATGAAAAATACACTGTGCACTAGTATTATACTTTAAATTAAAATTAAATGGACAGACTAGCTACGTGGATAAAAAGATTTGCACAATTGTATATAAATATGAATGGACTGTAGGTTTAGGGTACAATGTTTTATGAGCGTCCTAATTTAAGAAGAGGTTTAGTCTCTAATCTTGACTTACGAGATTTATATTCTTTACTTTATATCTGGGAAAGCGCCTTGACCGTTATCTTCCTTTTTTCCCCATGATTTTTTAAAATATTTTATTAAATTGTTTGCTTCGAGACTGTCTCATAACTTCAAAACATGCCATACGTAATTGTATGTCATTGATTACTGGTCTCGATCGTTTAGTTTCACTTTATATTACTGGCCTCAATCTTAACCATGAGAAATGGACATTCACATAACAATGCAGGAGAAAAAAAAGCGTGTCCACGGCTATTGACATTCAATTACGAATCAAAACCATTACCATATTAAATGCAGTAAGCGAAAGCTATATATAGTACCTTGAGAAAATAGAGAGATACAATGACATAGGCAGGCATAAAAAAGGCAGGCTAAAAAGAAAACTCTTCATCGCAGCGTCATACTGTTAGGCTGTGTTAACTTTATTTTAAGTTTTCATATATTAGAAAAAAAACAGCTCTTTTTCATGAAGCAGAACACAAAAAGCCATGTAAAAGATAACACGAAAAATACATTTATCCGAAACAGTCATATCAGATTGTATAAGAATACCAGATCGCTAGATAAAAAAAACTTAACAATTTAGCTTTTAGTCGGATGTGTTAGGTCTAAATAAGCAGCACACGAAGTCCCAGCAGACACGACTTGGGGAGAGAGATTAAGTGGGCGACACGGTAAGATCGTGTTACACTATATACAGTTTTAAACTATCGACCAAGACCAACTTATGTGAAAGGTTCTTGTCGGTAGCCTATTTTTGAGTCGAAGGACAGCCCAACGACAAAATATTTACCACTTATTTACATGTGATTACTACTGTTGCTTTTTTGATTTTGTTTAAGGTTTTGCATCAAAAGAATTCAAGTTTTAACATATTTTTGCACGGTGTCAATTTCAATTTTTCCAAACATAAGAGTAGTGATGATTACTATTTCTTTTACAAACCCAACCCTTTCGCCACTATCTTTACATATAAACGTCACAATTATATTCTGAACATATTAATGTTTTATTTATGTTTCAAGAAATATGTATGTAATTGTCTATTTTCCAGATTTACATCTTCGTTTTAAGCTGATAATTATAAGCTCATTTTAAATAATATCGCTTTAAATACATTGACTCTTTACAATGCATTTGTTTATAAAACAAAAAATGTAAACATAATTTTAAAACATTATTGGTCTTCTCTCTACAGCTGAACTAGACCCGCCAGTTGAACGTAAAAAAACACGAACAGAGAACTGGAAAGACGAAGAAAAAAACGAACTTCTCTCACTGATAGAGAGAAACAAGAGAGAGATAGAATGTAAAGGACGAACCAGCGAATGTAAGAAAAAAGTAAAACAAGCCTGGGATGACCTCACACAAGAACATAGAGCAAAATACCCGTCACGTGACCTACAGAAAGTGAAAGAACAATATCAGAGGATGAAATCTTTGGCTAGACAAGACATGAAAAGGGCAAGGAGAGACCCTCATGGCAGTAGACTTTCTGGTTTTACTAGAAGAATATTTGATATTTGTCCTGAAGATTTTGTAGACTTTAAGGAACTTTTTGAGTCTGAATTAAACACTGGGAATACAACAGAGCCAGACCAAGTCACAGATGTGGTTGATGGAACAAGTAGCGGCAGTTTTCAGCCGTCTTCCTCCCTCAATAGTGAAGGTAACATTTTGTTGAGATAAAGCTTTAAACATCAGACAATTTAACAATCGGAAATATGTTGATATATGTTTGACTTTAATTATTTTTGTTGCTTTATTAAAGACCTAAACCTTGATAATGGAATAAAACACATGTTTTATAATATGTATATTTAGGTGTCAATGTAGCTGCAAATGTAGCAGAAGAAGAAAGAGATGCCATAGAATACGGTATGTTTTTTAACTATAGTAAAAATAATGTTTATAGGTGGTTATTGTTAAACAAATATGCTTGTTGAACATGTAATTGAAAAAAATATTTTATTTCTCGCTATTCTCAATAGGTAACCAGGAATCGACGGAAAGTCACAATGAACAAAATATGGATGATGGTGTAGCATCTTCAAACTTGCACGTTGAAGGTAAAGCAAGATGTGGATTTGTTCAATAAAATTATATTTTTAAATGAAAACTGTTTAGAGTTGAAAATAAACCTGTAATGAACCAAAGTCGAAAATTTCTTTAAATACATTAGAAATAAACAGTATAGATCCAAAGTCATTTTTCGGATAACAAGACAGTTTGATATGTAAAATGTAACAAATTTATACGGTATTATTACTACACTTTTTGACAAACGGAGTGAAAATGGAATAAGATCTAGCGCATAAAAAATGCACTTTGATATTTTGTTGAATATTATCCTCACTAGTATCATCTAAAACATAGTCAACATTAACTATACAAATATACCCAACATTCCCTGTGCAATAGCCAAAGTCCATTATGCCTTATAAACATCCTATATGCCAACATCTTCCATGCCCAAGTTAATATCTCCAATGACCTAGCAAAAATAATCTATTCCCTAGCCAACATCCTGTATGCCCCAGTCAACATGAACATGCCCAAGCTGACATCCTCTTTTCTTAACCTGGTTAACCCAACGCACATGTTTCACTTGATGTATATCAAATAAATTGTATTCTGTTTTATAATTATCGTCTTTACTTATATTACTGTTACAGCAAATTTCAACGAGAATCAAGAGCTAATCCAGGAAATGTATTACGGTAAGTATAATATTATATCTACAATTCATCCATTGTATTAAAAATGATAATTGTGTGAGTACTTGCAGCTATGTTTTGAGTTGACTAGTTGTTATTGTATGATGGATAAAATACACCACGGTCTGAAATAGCGGTAACATTTTATTAGACCTACTAGGTCAATTCCATGATGTGTGCACTATAAGGACAATACACTAACAACCCTTCGTGAGTGACAAATTAGTCGAAATGCACAACACTAGTAATACTTAGCAAACAGGACAGAGATAATTCCTATTTTGATTTCAACATACTTCAATAGCTTAACAGTACGAAGAAAATGCAAACTTTGAAAATAAAATGACGTTTAGCATTTTTAAGAGATAATTATTGAAGGCTGAAAATAACGAACGCGTTTAACACAATAAAGGTTAACTTTAACAAAATAATCTAAGTGTCTTTTTTGTTATGATGATGAAATGTCTGTTCAATCAATAAAATCTCGATATGCTTCTCATTATACCCAGCGTATAAAAAGAATGTATAAACAATACTCGGTTTGTCTATAAACAAACCCAGTGAGAATGTCTTTACTTTTGTTAATTACATACATTTTTTTTCACATATAGGTACAGATGTCCAAGCTCAAAAAGAAGCCACAGACAGAATCCGAAACCAGAACATCGAGATGCAACCTCAGTAATTTTATTTTAATTTTTATCTGGGATAATAATTAGATTTGTCAGACAGTTCATAATTTACATCAAAGGCTCCCACTCTATGAGACTTGACTGGTATTTTATTTTAAGGAAATTGAACACAAATTTGTTTATAATAATGCGTTAAACATTTAAGGGTGATAATGTGTATTTTTCAATTATATATTATCGCTGGTCATTAAAAAAAAGTTCCATAGCAAGGTTTTTTTTTCTCTCATAAATTAAAATAAACATTTTTATCTATCCAACACTCACAGGCCTCAGATAGCGGATTACGCTGACACAGAATGGAAAAGAAAATCTCATCCATCTATACAGGTTAGACACGGATGTAGAAACTTGAATAAAAGACGAAGGTTTGGTGACGTTGATGAACTGGAAGTAGAAGAACGGAGGACAAAATTGGAAAAAGAAAAAGTGGAGTTGGAAATAAGCAAGTTAAGGATGAGAGAGAAAGAAGAAAAACTAAAGCAAAGAACAGAGAAACATGATGTGGAAATACAATTGAAGAAACAAAAGCACGAACAGAGAATGAGAGAAAGAGAAGAGAAATTAAGAATGGAGATAGAAAGACATGTACTAGAGCAGAGACTTTTAGAACAGAAGCTCCACAAGGAAGAAAGTAAAGGGATGTTGACATCAAGCCACGAGATACTGGATGTAGCAGGACCCAGCTACACACAGCTGTAGGTCAAGGCGTGTTTCTGTTTATGGTTTTGTTTGGCAATCTTTGACTGTTACATTTCAAAAACTGACATCTCTAATTTTATATAATTACCTGTTCATATGCTATTACTTTCGATTGAGACGCTTATTTTAAATCTTTAAAGAGGTCGATCGAACTCTTTATAAATCCAGAGAAAAATTGTTTTATCTCTAACAGTACAGTGTAAAAATATTTAAAAGTCTATACAATATTAATCAATTTTTAATTTGCCCGACTGTTATTTCGTATTATAATGAATTAAAATATTACATTAAATGAATTTATGTTTAAATGTTTTTATTATTTCTGCTATCTATTAAATTAGTTATTTTAGCTAATGTCAAAGTAAGATTTTATCTCATACATTTTCTGTGGAAAAGTATAGTAATTTAGATGTTAATAATGCAATGCTAAACTTTGCTGAAAAATAATTTATAAATGTTTACTACAAAATGCTTCAAATAATAAATTTTATATGTGTATTATATGAATTGATATAAGTTCTAGAAATATGTTTAATGGTGATAATATAATAATATTGTATTAATTGTTTAATTATCTTTTATTCATAATTTTAATGTGCGTTTTTTTTAAATTGTTTAGTTATCTTTGATTCATCGTAGAATTGATTTCGATTGCAATGTCTTTCAAAGAGCAAACATTGTTTTGGAAAACTATTTATTTCATTTATTTAAATCATGCATTTAAAATGTTAAAAACATATTATTATTCATATCTAATAAAGAGGCCACGATTGTTAAATTGTATCGCTAAAGGTAGGCCTACTGTTAAAAAAATATTGTTTTGGTTTTAAAAAAAATGAATTTTTATTACTTCTATTATTGTTATGACCATAGAGTAACAATAAATATGTAACAATTTAATTACTTATTAGATAAAAAAGTAAAAAAAAAACAACTAGTTCTATTTCGCAAGGTATTATTTTAATGGCCTGTAAAAGAATTCATGCTAGGGACATTATCCTGATAACTGCGATAAGTACCAATTATTCAATTTTAAAAGTAAACTCATACTTTATTATTTTGAAAAAAAATATTAAAATAATAGGTTATTTGTTTATAATGGCAACAATAGTATGCATGGAGGTCTTTTCTCACACTGGTCATTACTAAAATGCAAAAAAAGGTTTTTCTACAATGAACAAGTAAAAAAGTAATCTTAGATAATGGTCGGCGTGGTGTAAAGTGTAGACACGATTTCACTAAATGTGTAATTGAGAATAATTGGTGATGTTTATTTTCAAATGCGTCATAAAATAATTATTCTGACTACTTATTTAGTTACCGCAGTATAAGGCCATATAATACTTTAGGTTTTGCCGATGCTCAAATCGGAATACATTTGTTGAATTGTATCAGTCCTCGCTGTTATGTGCTAATGTTACTTAATATTTATTTGCAGCTCGGTTAAAATAATTAAACATAAACGGAACACATAAAAGAGAGGTATTGTATTTGGTTATTTATATTTATAACTAAAACAATTGTTATATGTGACATACGTCGTAAAGCCTTTAAATTGTAGTCCCAGTAACAAGTAAGAAAATAAATGTTTAAAATTTCATAATGCAAACAAGTTTATTTTTTATAATAATACAGAACACATGTAAAATAACTAATGAAACTTATTTTTCTGTTAATAACACACTAGCAACAATTTTCAGTTAAACAAGATCTGTACAAGATCTTCCATAAACGTTTTGTTCTCGGTTTCATCAAAGTTTAAGCAAGCAATTTATAGTATTGATTTACTAGTGCTATAACTGAAGATTGTGATTTAACACAATAAATTTGGATAGGCGACAACATGTATACCGTATAATTTTAAAAACATTTTCCCACGTTTTCTTTAACTTGCTTTTGCGTCTGTTTGTTTTTCCATATAATCTTGCGATCGAAATTTCGGGCACTTCCCAGTTACCTAGCGCGCTGAAATTTTTAAGGGAAGCTTTTTTCCGATGACAATAAAATATTCAATTATTATTATTACAAAACTACAATAACAGTTTATGTAGACCAGGAAGTACCCACTTTCCCCCTGAAGAAAGTCTACCGCCCCCGACTAAACAGGAATTTATATTGAAAATATATACTTTTAAAAGTGTCGACCCCCCCCCCCCTGAAATTTTAGTCCGTACCCTCGTCTCCCCCCCCCACCCCGAAAATTTTAAGTCTCCCCCCCCCCCCCCACCAGGAAATTTTTTTTGGGAAGAAACACTAGTTAAAAAGCGCACCGACCTTTCCAAATAAGGCTGTGGGTGCATTTTCACCAACGCGAATAATATATATATAGGTCTAATTTGATAATGGGGCGCAAAATTGATAGTTCGTCCTTGGCACCTAAATAGATCGCAACGCCTTTATATATAGTTTATGTAATCTAATCAGTTATAAATTATTAGGTACTTATATATTACGGTACAAATGCTGAAAGTTTTGAGTCTATTGTTTTCTCTAGCAAACGATCAAGGTAAGTGCGGCCTAACTGACACCAAACGTATTTAGTGAAGTCACTTTCATGCTGAAATAATCTAAAGTAAGCTTGCAAAATTTACACGGCGAATCATAATTTATAGCTATGTTGGAATAGACTTTATTGGATCTACAAAACATTTCAACACGGCCATACACAGTTGTTCTCTGACGTCAAACCTGACCTACATCCGGGTGATGTCAGTTTGCCAGTGCACTATAAATAGCATACGCTGCGATCAGTTATTAGTGGATAAGTAATAATTGTAAAGTTTGACACGGGCTTATTGTTTTTCTACATGCAATAGTAAACGTTTCAATATTTTATAAAAAGAAAAAACTAATCTGCAGTCGTAGCCAGTTTTTATACATAAATGATTTAATTAGATTCTAATTTAAATTTGAGTGTTTATTGAATGAAACAACTAAAATGGGTATTATATCCACTTTCATGTAACTGCCGTCACTGTCTAAGGTAAGTTACTACTATCTGCACATATATAACTGCAGTATTCATTTGAACTAACCACAGCAAAAATGTATTCAGTTGGAGATAATTAAATTATACTATCAAACCAATATTTAATTGTCACAATTTACAACCTACGCGATTCTGATTATTATTTCGAAGGCTAGAAATATCGTTATCATATGTCGTAAATCGACGATTACTTTTCTAGCTTTTACACATTTTAGGCTACATTGTATATGTTGCCTCCAGTATTTGCTTGAAGTCAATCGTTATTGAAAAACCTCACAATACAGATTCGGTGATTTAATAAACATCACAACAATAGACCTAAATCAAATCTTATAAGCCACGATACAATGAAATATAAGGCACTTCCTGGTCTACATAAACTGTTATTGTAGTGATACAACAGTTGAATAAAAAATCCAGTCACTTTTAACAGTAGCTTAAAAGACGGCTTGAAACTGGTTATTAATACAAAGGTTGAATTATGATTGATACAATACATGGAATTATATTGACTTCACACACTCGAGTGTGCGCTTCTATAATCTAAAAATAATAAAAAAACTGGTGCTCTGCTATAATAAAAAAGTTAAATAATTTGTGCGCTACAGTACTTTAATAGTTGATACTTTACATCAGGGGTCTCCAAACTTTTCAGACCGAGGGCCGCATTGACTATCAAATATCAGTTCGGGGCCAAAGTTTCTTCAAGGCATATTATCGGTGTCTACCGCCCCCCCCCCCCCCAACAAAATATAATTTATATAGAAATATATACAAATTTCAAGTGCCGCCCCCCCCCTCCCCCAGAGAAAAAAATCGGAAAGAAACACTGTCGGGGGGCCGACAACACACTCGAGGTCCAAGTTTGCTCTCAAATTATTCTTGACGTATCCTATATCTATGGTTGAGCCCATCTGACCTTATTAAATTCGCCATCTTCACCACAGGTTTAAGTATACTGCTAATGTCCATATATTTAACAATCAAAGCTTGCTGATGAATAATAGAGTGCAGCAGCATTGTTTGTAGAATATTTTTCTCATTCGCTTGTCCAACCAAACCTTTCTTTATGCTACTAATGTACTTTTTCCCATCAACAGTCAGGTAACTGAGGTTAGTCCAGTCCAAGTTATAATCAGAAAATGTTTTCTTTAACTCATTGAATATGTCCTCTCCGGTAACAGTGCCATACATATTATGTAGGGAAGCCATCTCTTGTGTTATGTTCAAGTCTTCAACCACACCCCTAATGAACACGAGCAGTTGAGAGGTGGAACAGCTGTCCAGCGAATCATCCATTGCAATTAAAAAATAGTGAAACGTGCTTTCATTTTTCGCTATTTGATTCACGATATTTTTACCAATGTCTGCAACACGGTGGGCAAAGTTATTTGCACCCACAGCTACATTTTCAAATTGTTTTGAATTTTCTGGGCAAAGTTCCTCAACCATCTCTAACAGACATTTTTTCCTTGGACAAAAAGATTCCGCGGGCCGGATGTGAGGACCTTGCGGGCCGCATGCGGCCCGCGGGCCGTAGTTTGGAGACCCCTGCTTTACATGGTTATCTTTTTATTTTAAAACATTTCCAGATGAAATAATCTTTATTGTATATTTTCTTACGAATTTCTACTAAAACATCGTTTTACTCCAAAGGCTACTCTAATCCACGGAGAAAACAGGAAAAGTTTAATACTGTATTATAATTAGACATGGGCATCTTGTAAGCACTCCTCCCCGCCATTCTGCTCCCAGACTTTACATTCATCATCGCACGTTCCCTGCAATTGATTTTAAAATATACCTGAAATTTTGTACAGCGCGGAAGAAAAAACTCAGTTCCTTCTTGCAGTCGACTCATAATGTGATTGAATGTTATTTCCCTTCCGATAGAGTTTTCTATCCATTGATTAGCTTCACTTATGATCTGCAAAGCAAAAAATGAATAACAAGATGAGAATGGGTTTAATAGATAACAAGATTAATTACCTGGGCTAGTTTTACCTTTTGTGCAAATTTGTTCAAGTAATTTTCAAGGTTCTCTTTTTCTTCAGCGAAATATGTCATTGGATTCTGTACAATACTCAGTTGTCTTGCTTTGCGGGCTTCTGTTCTTGAAGACATCTGAATAATCAAAATAACCTTTAAAAATACGTTTTCTAACTATTCATAAAATTCTACTTTATTCTTATCCTATATGTATTCTAATATAATATTTATATATGCGCGCGTGTATAATGTGATCAGAAAAACAGTGTTTGAAGTTAGCAATACAATTTCACGGTAAAAAAAGTGTATCTTTATATTCTAAATAAGTTAAACTTTATCTGTTAATACATAACGACTGTTAAAATAACTTACTTTGAGCTAGAGGAACTTTAATTAAATTGAAATTCTGTAATATAAGGTGTAGGTATTTTAGTTAGTTCGAAGAAGAAACGTAACATAGAAGGTTGGTTGGGGAAAAGTATTTTGGCTTAGTTGCCCAGTATTGATTTACTGATAAAGCTGATACCGTAAATGACAAGGCCCATTATCTAGGTCTGCAGGTAGTCGAAGATTGTGCAAACAACACGTCAGTTAGAAGTGGGATCTAAAATCTTTCTCGACGAACCCTTAACACACACACACACAGACACACACACACACACACACACACACACACACACACACACACACACACACATATATATATATATATATATATATATATATATATATATATATATATATATATATATATATGCACAGGATGCATATCAAGATGCCGCTTACATATTTAAGTGCGTGCGGTGTTATAAAAACAGATGTCATAGAAAAAATAGTGTTTTTTTATGACTTTGTGACTATATTTTCTCATATGCATATAGTTTTATATAGCATTACTTTAGGGTTATATGGCACTTCCAGAACATTTAGACATAAATTCTTAGAATATACAAATTTTCAAATGCTGAACATTTTTGATAAATATGTTACAGATGGAAGCACCTCTTAATTATATATGAATCAACTAAATTGTTGAATGAAATTTTACAGCGAATATCAAAATATGAAATGTTGTGCACCTAACTTAAACAGTAATCAAGTTAACGTAAAGTAAGTACCACGACCGGTTATCAGAATTCGCTTAAAAGGTAATAGAGAAGTACAAATTTAAAATAATATTTAATTAAAATATTTTGTCAAACTAACTAAAATGGTACCCCATTCATCGTGTTGACGTACATACTGACAGAGAGATACACTGACAGAGAGATACACTGACAAAGAGACACACTGACGTACAGACAAGATTGCAAAACTAAGTTTTTCGATTCAGGTTGTATGAAACGTTTGTCAGAACATCGATCTTTAATTTCCGAACGATTTCCCACAATACTCTGTATACAAGGAAGTAAAAGAACTCAAAGAAAAGGTTCCTCTCCGTATTACATGGAAAATATAAACATATATGTATATGTCGAGTTGTCTTCAAAAGTATACGTTAAAAAATTTACTAAATGTTTTGTATAAATAGTGAGCCTGCTGAAATGACATTCAAGACCTGTGGATACAACCATGCTAAAGCTATCTAACTAAAGATATATCGCTACAGGAACGTGAGTAAATTAAATTTCTTAACAGTTTCTAATAAAAGTGTTCAATATTTATGCCTTGGGTTTGATTGATTTAAGCAAATTTAAAAAAAAAAATAAGTGAAGAGGGGCAGATAATATTTAGACAGTTCATCAACAAAAATTATTTTTCCTAGGTTACAGCACAGGGAAGGTCACACATTTTATTCAAGTTTAACATGTTTATTTTTGGTCTAAAGTAATAGTTTTGCCTGCAAATTTGAAAGTATATATCTATACATAGTAGGCAACATCTATCTACTTTATTTTCGGAATTTTACGCAATGAATATTTCAGACTAACTGGTAAACAAAAGCTTTCCTAAAATTAAATCGTATAATGATTTCATTAATCTAACAAATAAGTAAAATATTTCTAAAAATCAGTGTTAAATTTAGATTAGCTAAGACCCCCACACAATAGCGTATTTATACATTCAAACGCTAATAATTGCTTAGAGTTTCTTCCAGGCATCTCTTCGAAGAGAGTCTACCCCCCACCCCGGAACAAAATGAAATTTATATAGAAAAAAAATATTTTTAACAGTGTCCGTCCCCCCCCCCCCCCAAATGTCAAGTGCCCCCCCCCCCCACCTGAGAAAAAAGTCTGGAAGAAACACTGTTCTAGTTTGCGACCGTTTTAGTTTAAAGCAAACCAATATGGCCGACCTATAGTCCGTGTCGATTATTTTGTTTAGTAGACTACCATAACTAGTTATTAGTTGTGACAAGATATTGATCTGAAGTTCTGTACGTCTTAAAATTATCTTGTTTGCAGGTATGGAAACATGTTTCTTTCTTATACTTATGATCTCACAATACTTGTGAAACATAGTGCCAGTTTGCCAGTGTATAAACGAAGTATAAAGTATTGTAATCGTGCAAAAAAAAAATCGAGATTTTTACAAATCTCGACATTTTTCACCTCACTGATGCGGAAAAACATAATTTTGCAATCTCGTCCGTATGTCTGTGTGTCTGTCTGTGTGTGTCTGTGTGTAAACACGATGACTTGAGCACCGTTACAGCTAGGTTGATGAAATTTCATATATAAGTATTTTATCAAAATCGTAGATCCGTATCAACTTTTGAGCGATTTCCGATAGCCGGAAGTGGTACTTTTTCTACTTTGAATTTTGCAAAAACCTATAACTTGAGTACTGTTTCAGATAGATAAAAAAAATTTCATATGTAAGTAAAAGATTTAATTCTTTACCTTCTTTCAAATTTTGAGTAATTTCCGTTGACCGGAAGTACTAAGTTACGCTATTTCCGATTTCTCAAAATCGCATGTAAATTTATAAAGTACTAATAATATTGCGCACTATTATACTAATTTTTATTTGGTGTTCGCTTGTTGCGCAATTCTTTTTTCTATGAGATTCTAGTTTTAAAAGTTTAAGTAATCAAAAATCATGTCTATATTCCAAGTTATATAAGAATATTCGAGAAAGTGTAGGGGAGATCACTCCCGGTTTATTTATTAAGATACAAACTTGTAATAGAAAACAAACAATTAAGTAGGGAATATTTTAGGCTGTTAAAAATATTTTGATCGAATAACCGGTGGTATAAACTAGACAACATCCTCACTAGTAGAAGATTTTGTCCAGAAATGTACCTGTCGCATTAAGAAACTGCGGTGGTTGGGACAACAATTAAATTATCCGTGAGGGGGTGGGGGTGAGGGGGTGGGGTGGGTGGTGAGGGTTAAACTATATATTATAATGTATCCAGTGGGCAGTCACTGGTTAAACTATATATTTTATATTTAATTCTCGAGAGATGCATTAAACAAATGTAGTAATCTTTGGTTTTCCCGATTCTATTTATACGAACAGCAACAAAGCGTAATTAAAACTACATGTTTATCAAGGAGACAAGGCTAAAGTTGCTATTCTTGCGTATGTTTTGATGCATATATTGATTTTTCTTTTTATTACGAGTCATATTTTGTAAAATTATCAAAATATTATAACGTTTTGAATTAAATGTTAAAGTAATATCTTCTATAAGTATTTTTAACGCTAAACGCTAAATACATGATCTGTTTAATCAAGTTTAATGTAATGATACATTTTTATAAATTATGTATAGTTAAACTTGTAATGCACCATTCAGACCATTGACTCCGATTCAGTGGCGGAACTATAAAAAGGGCCACCCCGAAATTCTTTTTAAAGCCCCCCCCCCCCATATATATACATATATATATATATATATATATATATATATATATATATATATATATATATATATATATATATATATATATACAAACGCAAAATACGAACATAGGATACTCTTTGCTGGCCTGTTCGGGTTTTGATGAAAAAAAAGGTTTGTTTTAATAAAACAAATAACAACAGCATGTTATGTCAGTAGGTGCATTAGTATGTTTTGTGAAAATCAGTTCTATTTTATCTCTCCTGTAAGACAGTATAAGATATTTTTACCTCTAGTCGGTCAAAAGAATAAAAGCCATGAAAGCTTTGTATAAGTAATGGTGTCTCGTGCCTTGTTTATTTGAAAGGATTTCATTTTTATACAATGTCATTCTTTAGTAATTACTTTATAAAAAAATAATAATTAAGAGAAGTAATTGCTTTTTTAATTTTTTTAGTTCAAATCTATTAAAAGAAGTTCATGAGCAAAACTATTTGACTATTTAGAAAGGGAAAAAAGTAATGGAAGTGGTATGAACGTTTGCATATCTTTGATAAGTTTGATTGTAGGAGAAAGAGGACTCGGCTTTCACAGTGGTTTAAAAACAAAGGAAAAAAGAATATACAATATATATATATATATATATATATATATATATATATATATATATATATATATATAGTAATAAAATACTAAAAGATCATAGCGGTCTACAACATAAATAACAATACTAAACACCACGTTCCACGTCCACAGCCACACTACAACTAACTGCTTCACACACTAGCACACGCTCTGATACCCGTCAACTGACACACCTCACGTGAACACCTCTCGCTCCATGTACACACACTCAACCAAGGGATACAACTATACACCAAAGGGAGAGTAGCTGTCGTTCCAACACACAACACACACACATACACACAAGCAGGGGACATGTAAGGGACGTAACAGTGTCTATGGAAATAACTATAAAAAAAATATTATCGGCTGTGGGCTCCTGAATGGCTTCTGTCAGTTCTATAGTTTTAGTTAAGATGATATTACTATCATACAGACTTAGAATAAAGATAATTTAACACAATTACATTTCAGTACTATCACAATGGCCCAACAAGTAAACCTTAATTTTCATACACTAGATAGAATGAATTTTACTCACATTACAGGTAAGATTACATTTATGTACACAAATATTACCACATATCTCCATAGTCGCTTACAAGTGATAAACAGATCAATATTGACTAGTAATGTGGATTGATTTTACAATTTATATTAAATGAACTTTACAATGTGTAACAAAGATTTATTGGTAGATGCAAATAAAAATATCAATTAAATTTTATAAAAATGTGAAAATAAATATTTAATAAATGAAGTCTTTGGTAGAAATAGACCCATTTATAAACATACATATATTGTTTATCGGTTCCATGACAAATGATCTCAAGACAAATGATCTCACGGACAAAAGATACCAGGACAAAATATATCACGACAAATGATCTAAGACAAAATATCTCAGACAAAATATCTCACAGCAAAATTTTAATAGTGTATTCGATGAATTTAGTTGAGATATTTTTTCTGAAATATTTTTTTCTGCGATCATTTGTCCTGAGATCATTGGTCCTGTCACCTGTTTATCATTGGCATAGACAACACAGATAG